AACTTCAAAAGAGATAAATATGAAAGATGCGACTATTCCATAACGCGAGTAGAGCTTATGGCTACTTGTAAAAATATCGGTTATGATGAATATGAATGTGGTAAAGAAGATTTCGTAATTAGTTAGTTAACATAGATCAGAATTGGAGAAGAAGAACGTGCTTTGAACGAACTTTGAAGCAATGGGCGTTTGTCGTCATAATATTGATAACTGCAGAAAGTTGGCTGAATAACGAAGAATTGTGGAGGAGAATAGATTTGAAGGTAAAATTATCTTGCTGAGTTCCTAACCGACTAACCTGTTGAAATTGAGCATTTGCCGTCGAAACGGCAGGAGTAGGTGAGACCGCTCTTGACGGTTCTCCAAAAGAAGCACTTGCATCCATGACAGGCGGCGACTCCGTAGTACAGATGAGAGCAGGCTCGGTCTCCACAAACCACACACTGAAGAATCACTGGGTCTTGTGCAGACTGGCTCAGCACAGGGCCGACGATGCTCACCAAAGCTCCGACGGTGGCTTTCTCACGCGTCGGCAGACCAATTGGCGGCTCCGGCGGGTAAACGATATTAGCACGTTGCTTTGGATTTGGCTGAGCATCGGCGGACATTTTTTTACGAGTTCTTGTGTATTTTGCAACTTACGCACAAACACACGATCTAACAGCTCTTTTGCTGATAGGGGTTGTCAGACTCCACCTTAAATAAACTCATATCGAAACGATTGCATCGCATTTTGGATCTATGAGCGCGGGGTATGCGAATGAGTGAACTGTATACAAATAAGCCATGTGCCCCCATATATAAGCACAAACAGCCAAGAACTTTTGCAAAATGAAAAGAACCGAGACAGGAAGGGAGACGTGAAATGAATGGCGTTGATAACAAACTTTCTACCTACTGGGGGCGAAACCGGCCCGCCTTTGAAGGTCAAAAAGTGAGTTGATTTTGGATTCTCAAGAAAAGAGACATAGCGATCACATGACTGTCAGCATCTATTGATAACTGGTTTTATCTCACCAAATGTATTATATTTGCTAGGAGTGATAATTGAGTTAATAACTAACAAAATGTGCAAAGGTTGGATGAGTTTAGTCAATTTCAGGATTTTTTTATAACTTTTGACTCGTGTAGATAGTGGTAGTTATCGCCAGACAGAATGATTGCATTTAGCAATGTTGAATTGTTGTTTCTCACACAAATTTAGGTAAATGTGACTTGCTAGGCCTACTAATGAACAAAGCTTTAAGAGTCAAATGGCTCTCATTGGAAAAAAAACAATGAATTTTCTTGCCTACTTTGACTAGATGTAGCCTGAAGAACATCGGTATTCTAGAAGAACGAGGCTATCTCCGACAACTGCTCTCAACATTAATATTTGTCCCCTTTGAAGCAGCTAGAGCTTAAGGGTATATAAAGATTCATTGGAGATTTAGTCATTCGCCATCAACTGCGAAAAACAACATTAAGGTCAAAGAATGGGAATTAACGGCGAGCCGTGGTCGGAGAGAGGAAGATTGGCAACACTCCAAACAGAATGTCTCTTGAAAATGTTCTTGATAAGGAAATTATGCGGCATATCAGTTGCGTTACCTGTCCAAAGTCTAGG